TTGTTGGTTCTCTCCTGTGTAGTATGTGAGTAGAGTTGCTTGTTGGTTCTCTCCTGTGCTTCGACCATTTTCCGGGTTCTCTGACTTTCCTCTCTCCGTAAAAATCAACTTCTAAATTCTAATTGGAATCCAGTGGAAGAAGAGCCACTCTGTGGATTCCACTGTTAATCCAATTATTTAAATTATATTATTATAAATGTTATAAACAGCATTCTTGTTCTGGGTCTCCTACGTTTTTATGCCATCAATCAAATTGATGTGTTTTGAATAGACCTTGCTTGTCAGTAGCATTGGGCATGTCCATTTGTTTTTTATTCACTATTAATGCATTAATAAACAGTTATTTGCCTCAGGCTCAGTGAATATCAAGGAATATTTACAGAGATGTGAGTGTTCGAGTATTTTTAACACAAGTGAATTGAATAAATAACGGAGAGAGAGTTTTTTTTAAAAGATGTTATTTATCTCTGCAAGAGATATGCATGCTATATTCACCTGTAGGCTGGATTTATTATACACTTATTTTAATAAAGTTAGTCACCTGAAAAGCTACAAAGCTGAGACCGGCGACAAGGATTATGGGTAGATACATTTTACATGTTTCAACCGCTTGATAACTGTGATGGACTTGAGATCTTCTACCAGTTACAAGTTAACCTCCTCTGAGCATCCTCAACTATTGCAGTTTACGTCAAAAGCTTTACTTGTTTGATATAAAACATTTCCCCATGGTTCTCAGCGATCACAGCTTTCTAGGTTTTTGATGACTAACTTTATTGAAATAATTGTATTCACTTGTGTAAAAATACRTAGAGGTTATCAGTCGGCTAAGCAGTCCAGTATTTGAGTGAGTCAAAATACATGTAATGAGTAAAAATGCACAGCCGTATCAGATGGTTAGTCTACTGATAAATTGTTTATCATTTACTTCTGCAAAGAAATGCTCAGACTCTCTCTAAACCCTATCGTACCCAGCGCGAGCAGATGAGAAGTGCTGATACGGTCTCATATCAGGCATGGTCTTTTTTCATATCACGCACGTTCTTTGATGAATTAAATGATAATGATAATTATTATTTGTGAAAATGCTTGCCTATGATTGGCGAAATTTGTTTTACAAAATACTTTGCATCAGCCAACCAAAAGAAGTCTTTTTCTTAAACTCATCGTAATCTTTGCCTTCTTCCTTTACTTTAGTACTTTGGAATATTTTTTCAATGTTCTTTTTTGGTTTCTGTTATTCCATATTTTTCTCTAAGTTTTTGAGCTTCTGTTTCAAACTCTTTTTTGATTTTCTCCTCCTCCTCAATCATTTCTTGTTGAAAATTTTCCCAATCTTTCCTCGCTTCTTCTTTGATCTTCTCTCTCCGTTTTTGGTGTGTGTCTTCCTCTTCTTTAACAAGAATATTATGACAGCTTTGTCTTGCAGTTTTCAACTTTTCTTTCAAGTCTTCAAGCAAAACTGCTTGGTCTATAGACTTTGGTATCACATCTTCAATCTGATGCAGTTTTTGCTGAGTTTCTGTTAACCTCTCTACTTCACGATCTTTCCTCTTGCCTTCAAATTCTCTAAGGAAGTATTTACATTCCCCTCCAATCACTGATCTGTGATCAAAAAGTCTTCCATATACCCCAGTTATATTTTTCATCACTTTTTCGCCAGCCATTTTGAAAACAAGAACGAAGAACCACGAAATTTACCCGAATGTATTCCGAGCTTTACTCTTTTACTTCGAGAGTTTGTCGGGCATTCGTCGGAAAAAGCAGGAATCTTAATTTGAGAAAACAATTCTAGTGCTTTATTAAATTTGTATTTTTTTTATAGAATAACTTTTGACATCTCATAAAAAAGATACAAATTGGAAATTACTAAATTATTAATTTGAAATATTTTATAATCATAAAGACTGATTTATCATTTTTCGGTCTTTAAGGCAAAAATATTTGACAACTTGTACATCTAACAAATTTAAGCTCATTAATAATAATTCTATTGAGAAGTTTGTGGTCATTAGAAGTTGTCATATTAGAAAATTACGAGGAAAAATATCCTCTTAAAGTGGGCTTCCTGTGTAAGTTATTCCATATATGGTAAAGTTCGAGTTTGGCGGGAAAATCTAATCACGTGGGTGAAGAGCAGAGCTGGTTCGTGTTGAAGTGAACATAAACCTCGTTGTTTTACTGAAGAATTCTTCCAAAATTCAACTAAAATCATGAGTTTAGACAACGAGCAATACCTCAGAGGGATTCAGAGAGAGTATCTTGACTTCCTTGACGACGATGTAAGTAGGATTTCGTTAACTTTCTAGTGTATTTTGTGAGATATTTTGATGTGTTCGCGATGGCTGTTGATTGAAGTTTGTACAACGTTAGAAAATGTGTTCAAAGTTAACTCTTTTGTCACTCGATCTCCCTCTAAACAACACTATAACACCTCTATACCTTCCTTCTAGCGAAAATGTTAAGGTTTTAACTAATCTTTGCCACTAAAGAGTTTTAACTGGAACTTTATTTTTCCCGGGAAAATATGTCATCGAGTCACATGTTTCATTGAAATGATTTTCAACTTTTCTGKTTTTTTTCTCCTCAATGTTTTCGATTTATCTTCCATAATTCTAAACATTATTCAAAGTTAAATGCAAGACAGCTAAATCTATTGTTTGAAAAAAAAAATTTCTTAAAATATTGTTTGTGAAATTTAACGTTTACTATACCTTATGAATATTCACGACTTATGTTATATCACACAAGTGATAATAATAATGATAATAATTTTTTGAATATTTTTTTAGTCTTAATTTTCATCTTTTGTTATATTCTCTTGTGGTGAGCTGTTAATACTGATCAGCATCATTACTATAGCATAGCTTTATCAATTTAATTATGCAAAGAATGTGTGTGATACAGGAAAAGATCATTCCTGATATGAGACCGCATCAGCACTTGTCATTTGCTTGCGATCTGGTACTATAGAGTTTAGAGGGAGTTTGAGCATTTCTTTGCAGAATTAAATAATAAACAACTTATCAGTAGCTAAGCATCTGATACGGCTGTGCATTTTTACTTGTCACTCATAGTTTGTAAATACTCTGTGACTCATAAAAATACACAGCCATATCAGATGCTTAGCCGACTGATAACCTCTTATTATTTACATCTTCCATGCCCCATAATGCTTTTCAATCTAAGATGGCCACCGTATTGTGGAAGAAGCCATTTTGCAACTTTTAATTATTTAAGTCTGAGGGGGGTGGGGGTGGAAATGTTTTTTAAGCAAAAATTTTTACAGACCCCAACCTAGTAGCATACATGTTTTTTAGGTACCCCCTTCAATCGTTCATAAAATCCTCCCAATCTTCCTTTTTACCTTTCAAGGCTACTCCACTAAAAGAAATTTGAGGGCCCCTCATTTTCTCCTCCACCCCCCTCCCCCCATCTTAAATAATGACTGATTCCTAACAACACCTTACGCAGTAGTTTTATATTGAAGTATATTTATTGTTGCTGTGTTGTAGGAGGATCAAGGGGTGTACCATGGCAAAGTGAGGGACATGATCTCTAGAAATCAATGTCGTCTGATTGTGAATGTCAATGACCTGCGGCGAAAAAATGAGAAACGAACAAACCTGTGAGTATAGAATAGCAGATATTAGAGTTACACACTATTGCCTTCAAACAACAATTGTTTAAAAGTGAAACATTTGGGTCAATACAACAAAATGTATTGAAATTGACCCAAATATATGAGTGTAATATAATGTCCACATGATATGCTGTCAGCATTTGGAACTTCTTTGAATAATATTTGTTGAAATTTGCATTCTTTACTTTATCTTTGGTATTCTTCGATTGCATGTTACATCATCGCGGCCTCTCAAGGGAGCGCTGATACCATTTAACAAAAGATTTCTTATTAGTATCCATTGTTAACGGCACCACAATGGCCGCCATGCTTTTGTCTTTTCACTCTCTTGGGAATGCTTACAACCCAACAGTTTGTTGATATTTAGAGACTGAAATTTGGGGTTTCAAATGATCTCGTTATCAAGAAATACAGAAGTATTTTATGAAAATGGGAAAAGATAGAATTATTCACCAATGTATATTTGTTTTCCAGATTACTAAATAAAGGATTTGAAGAGCTTTTGGCATTTCAGGTAACATTTAATTGTTAGATTTTCATTTATCTGTAGTGGTGTTTTATATGTTACTTCTCATCCCCTTGAATTCTGATTTCCCAGGGTAAAAAGGAGATTTGAGACATGAATCCTATTTTGACTTGCATCCAGCTAATGTTAGCCATTCAAAATCAAGAAAATTTTCAAAACTGAGATGTTACGTTTCCTCTTGAAATTATGGATTTTCAGGCAACAAAATGAAAAAAAAAAAAAATTTGCTAACATGGGCTTGATAACAGGACACAATAATGAGTGAATTTTATATTTTTATTGCAATTCTAATTCTAATTCTAATTCTGATGCGTTTACCAATCCTGGGTGGACAGCTTGATGCCTAACAGGCCTTGTGGCCCAATTGATAAGGCAGCTGGTTAGCACGGGCACTGAAGATGGTCATCGCCAGCGTCTTCAGTGGATCCTTTACGTCCGCCTTATACAGGGTTATATAGTGAAGCAGGCATGTTCTTATTTTTCGCTGGTCAATTTTCGCAGGCTTTATGACATCTCAGTTTTGCGTGACATCATTTCTGTGTCACTATTTCAGATTATCTGGATGACCACCATATTTAATTTTTTTTTTTCAGAATGCATTAAAGGAGTTTGTAGGCACCGTTGATACAGCTTACGGTAAAAAATACGAAGAATTCTTTATTGGTTTTGAAGGAAGGTAAGGCCATTCATTCGATAGACCCCTTGCATGTGATGTCAAAGGATCTCAATTTGGAGGACAAAACAAAAGAATTTTGATCTCCTGAGAATTGGATACCTATCGTTTCTAAACCTATTTGAGAAGGCAGCATGGTCAAGTGGTCATAGCGACGGTCTCGCAATCTGATGGTGCTATGTTTGAGTCCCTCTGTGGCCACTAGCTGAGACTGTATTTGTCCTGATTTCTGATTAGTTCAAATCCAGTTTCTCGACCATGCTTGTAAATAGCCAACTGGTTCACCTCCTTGCCAGTTGGGATTCTTAACTCACTTTATGTTTCTAAGTTTTTTCTACATTTAAGTTTATTAATTTGTGTACTACACTGTAAACTAGAGGTTAGCTAAGTGTACTCTCCACGTTAAATAAGGTTGTTTATTTATTAGAAATATAGATAAGTTATAGTGCTTGGGAACGAGGTTATTCCGGGCGAAAGCCCTTAGAATAGCCCGGAATAACCTCGTTCCCAAGCACTATAACTTATCTATATTTCTATATCTTTATGTATTTCATAAGTGCTACGCGGTCCACATATTCTCATCTTATTTATTTATTTATTGTTTTGTCCTTGTAATTGAGCGGCATTCTGCCGTACTGCAAGGGGTATATTAGTATATTATTTTACAAAGCAGCAGTCAACATTGTATTTCATTTATTTTGCCCCCAGTTTTGGTTCTAAACATGTCACCCCCAGATCACTATCTTCAAGATTTCTTGGCTCTGTAGTGTGCCTTGAGGGAATCGTTACAAAATGTAAGTATTGTGCATATGACTCTCCTTAATATTCAGACAACCATGCAGTAGAGCAATTTTCATATGAGTGGGAAACATATATTAATGACTTAAGGTATGCACACGGCACAACATGCTTTTATGGCTAAGCGCAATAGAACAGCAATGTATAAAACTATATAAATTATATTATCATCATCATCATCACCATCATCATCGCCATCATCATCATCATCATCATCACCATCACCATCATCATCATCATCATCATCACCATCATCACCATCATCATCATCATCACCATCATCATCGCCATCATCATCATCATCATCATCACCATCATCATCACCATCATCATCGCCATCATCGTCACCATCATCAGCAACACCACCACTGTATGGTTGCCACAAAGTATATAAAATAGACTGGAGACTTTTAAGTGTGTTTCATGAAAGCATTTACTAGAGCATGTGGCAAGAAGCGAATACATTAGTAACATGAAACTACATTTAATATAATTATACTGAGGATCACGTGTATCGTTACAGGATCATGTATATCGTTATAACCACCACCACCACCATCATCACCATCACCATCATCATCACCATCACCATCACCATCACCATCATCACCATCACCATCACCATCATCATCACTATCACCATCATCATCACCATCACCACCATCACCATCACCATCGTCATCATTTATAATATTATAGTATAATTTTCGTAAGACCACCACTATCCCTACATCTATCAACATTCAATATCAACCTTTACTTGCTTTTACCAGGTTCATTGGTCAGACCAAAGGTGGTACGCAGCGTGCATTACTGTCCTAAGACCAAGAAAACACTAGTGAGAAGATATACAGATATGACATCACTAGATGCAGCACCAACAAGCTCTGTCTATCCCACAAAGGTTTGTTGGCCTTTATACTTTAAAGATCTGTCTACTGTAGATAGTCAGGCTCTAAGAAACTCACATTATGACACTTATTATTTTGGGGGGGGGGGGGTAGTACCGTTGACACTATCTTGTTCAGATACTAGACATTGGGTTAGTAACTCTAAATCCAGTAGCCTAGCATTAAAACCATTAAACTCAAGGCAAAGCTAATGAAAAATTATAGAAAATAATATATTAGCAACTAAAAGAACGCATAACATTTACTTGGCGACATTTAGGATATAGAATGTTCTCCTATTACGAAACTTAATGAAAACCCTGTTGCTTCATGATCAAATAGAATATGAAATAAAAAATCTAATAATAATGATAATAATAATAATAGTCAATAATAAAAAATATTATCATCAACGAAAATCTACAATGTACTTACAAAAATTATTTGATGTCTTGACTTATAAAACACACAACAAAATTACTCGATACTGATTGGACAAAAGAAGTACGATTAAATCCTAAAATGTACTTTGCATGGTCCTATTAAATTGCTTAATTTTGTTGAGCGTATTATAAACAAAAAATCACACAATCTTCAGGTACGATTCGGAATTTATAGATACTCATGATGTTTTTAAGGTTTTCAAATTGAACTCCCCTAAAAGGCTCGTCCAATTTGAGAACCTTCAAAATATCAGTCTAACCTATGAATTTCGAATTGTACTCGAGATCATGCAATTTCCTATACAAATGGACTTATTTATGATGGTGCGCCATGATAGGATGAAGATGGGAATCCATTAGAGACTGAATATGGCCTTTCAACATACAAGGATCATCAAACATTCACTATTCAGGTAATGGAGTGTTATGGTATGTTGTTGAAAACAATATCCAGCCAGAATCAGATCTTGTTCAGTCAAATCTTTGCCTTGCAAAGAAATTCATTTTGAAGAAATCCAGAAATTCAAAGTCATTATGACCATTAAACGTTGAGCCAGAAACACGGTAGCTAAAACTAATTTGACTGGTGACTGATCAGCCATTTAAGCCTTGTGTATGCCTAATCCACTGTCTTCCCATTTCAGACCATGTGTCATTCCCTAGAGTATCATTTCTTTGTTTAATGGTTGTGCATGAGAAAACACATGAATATGGATACAACTCAAACAAAGAATCTTATTCTTAAGACCATGTGTCATTCCCTAGAGTATCATTTCTTTGTTTAATGGTTGTGCATGAGAAAACACATGAATATGGATACCACTCAAACAAAGAATCTTATTCTCAAGAGAATGTGTCATTCCCTAGAGTATCATTTCTTTGTTTAATGGTTGTGCATGAGAAGACACATGAATATGGATACAACTCAAACAAAGAATCTTATTCTCAAGAGAGTGACACGTGGGCTGAAATGGGCCGGACATGCGACCAATAGGATTTGGTCCATTATCAGTGTGATTTAGTGTTTGATTAGAAATATACAAAAATAATGAAATAAAAGTGAATTTAATATTATTTTTTCTCACAGGAAATGCCAGAGAGGGCACCAGCAGGGCAGTTGCCCAGATCAGTGGACATCATCGCCGATAATGATCTTGTCGACAAATGCAAGGTACATAGTAACCAAACATTTTGTCCAAGTCCTGTGCAATATTCACTTCAATTTATAAAATAACTGTTGTAAATCTTGCATTCTGATTGGTTGGGAGGGTGTGAATTATGAGAGCACACAGCACACATGCACACTTTCTACTGGTCATTTGTATACAAAATAACAGTTAATCTAATTTGTATTTTATAAAAGAAATGTGTATTCAAAAATATATTATGGCACATTTGAGACAATGAAAATTGATGAACTGTCAAAATAGTGCAAAATTAGCCAATAAACAATGAGCTTCACTACATTCCAGCGTCACCTAATAAGCTCGGAGTGATACATGGGCTGTTGAAATTTAAATTTTAGGCCCCGTCCACACTATGCGGGATAAATTTGAATATGAAGTTTTATTTATTCAGTTCCATTTGGAAAATTCATTTTCGGTGAAAAATGTTTCCAGATTCGCCCGCGCTAGTGTGGACAGTAGGCTTAAACGAATAAATAAAAATTCACAATCAAATTTATCTGGCATAGTGTGGACGGGGCCTAAGACTGAAACAACCAAAAATCCAATAATAAACTGAATAATGCAGTGTAAGGGGTGAACACTTCATGTCATTTGGCAGCTGTAGTAAACTATTTTCTTTATTGTTTAATTGATCTTAGCCTGGGGATAGAGTACAAATAGTTGGTACTTTCCGTTGCTTGCCGTCAAAGAAGGCTGGATTCACAGCGGGTACATTCAGGTTAGTAAGACAATGGACTCCAGAACTATAGATCTTTTCAGCTCTGACGTAATGTTTTCCCATTTCAGACCACATGTCATTCCCTAGAGTATCATTTCTTTGTTTAATGATTGCACATGAGAAGACACATGAGTATGGATACAACTCAAACAAAGAATCTTATTCTCAAGGGAATGACATGTGGCCTGAAATGGGAAAATATTACCCCAAGCTGAAGAGGTCTATTAGGAAGTTTTGATGCTCTTCATAATGTTTTTATGTGGAAATCAAAGCTTGTGTGGCGTTGAATTGTTGAGAGGAAAGTGCTGTGCCACCCATGCTACCCTGGATGGGAGTCCCTTAACAAAGACATGCAGCTTTTTTTTTTTATAAGAAAGAGGGATAGCCGAGTTATTTATGTCTGTTTTATTTTCAGGACCGTGTTGATAGCTAATAATGTTCAAGTCATGAGCAAAGAAGTTGCACCCAACTTCTCTGCAGCAGACGTTGCAAAGATCAAGAAGTTCAGCCGCAGCAAACAGGTATGAAATATAGGGATGTCATGATACTCCATCCCATTCATCCCATCCATCCCTCTATCCCATTCATCCATCCATCCCTCCCATCCATCCCATCCATCCATCTCATCCATCCATCCATCCATTCTTGGCTAACAGATAGATTTTATATCAGGATGTGTTTGAGATGTTGTCCAAATCCCTTGCACCATCCATTCATGGTCATGAGTACATCAAGAAAGCTGTTCTCTGCCTCCTTCTTGGAGGCTCTGAAAAGATCCTTGAAAACGGCACCAGACTTAGAGGGTGAGCCAATGATAGTTGATAAGCCTAGTGGTAAAAAATGGTAAACTTAAATAAAACTAATGAAGCTTGATATTTTTAATGCACATATTTCATATGCATATGCTCACATGCATGCTTTCTAGATCGAATTAGAATTTAGAAGTTGATATTTGCAGAGGGAAGAAAACTGCAGAACCCAGAGAAAAACCCTCTAAGCACAGGAGAGAACCAACAAACAACTCTACTCACATACTACACAGGAGAGAACCAACAA